TTATCACTATCCACGTTATTGATCATTGTATTCATCTTATTGATCACTTATTTATCAATATATCCCTTATATCATTACATTCATCTTATTAATATAGTCCTTATATTATCAACCATTATCATATACTATCAAATGAACACTTAGTTCATTTTATCATGATCACACACGAGACCACCACAAAAAAATCACTGCTTTCTTCCAACTAAACTACTGATGAGAATGTCTACCACTTATACCTAACTGTTCATTTCAACAATAAGCACGAAACTTATCGAAATATGCTCTCAAGCCAACAATCACAAAAGAATATCGCTCAGAAATCTACCTGAATAAGTTCTCGTTCTGAATCATCAGTACTGTTTTTGACGACTGCTTTCAAAAGGAGACTATATCTGGTGAGGCGTTGCATCGGATTTGTTAACGCATCCAGCAGTCGTTGACGTCGCATTGTGTCTTGTGACTCAGCCCACTGAAAGTAATTCGATATGTGATTTTGCTCAGCCATTTTCTCCTTCACCTCTTCAATTCCGTACGAAACCATCAACCGAATTCATTTGATCAAAACTTTCAACATATAAATATTTCAAAACAAAAATGTCAAAAGATTCAAAACATATAGAACATGATGATAACATGCTCATTACTATTGTAGAAGTTATTAAACACATAAAAAGCTATGTCAAATCATAGAAATTTACAAATGAACAGATAAAATTAGATAAGGATAATGAAAAAACAGATATGAGAAATTATAATTTCACTGAAAGAAAGGCTTTGCCACCAGTCAATATTCAGTCTAATAATCTAGCAAACGCCTGTTCTCGCTAAATCTTTCATCTTAAAATATTTCCTCATCAACAATGCATGATGAAATCTTACAATTAACAATTTGCAACTAAAACTCGTTCTTAACATTAATTTGTAATCATTTGTACTCGGACAGCTGAAAATCATAAGGAAACAACGTTCATGAATTGCATGCAGTACATTTTATGCACTCTTTAAAAATAACGCAATAACATGCGAAGGAGGACCCATTACCATCCTAAACGCCCAATTACTCTCCTACGCTTCCGGCTTGAGTCCCACGCATCTCATAAATTCTCATGCTTCACCATAAAATTCTCATTTCTAATACGCTTTTTTTGAGGAAATGAGTGAACATTTGGAAATTTTAAATCAAACTGCCGTCCGAAAAAATTTTTTTAAACAGCAATCAACAAGTGAAATAAACAAACCGCAACGAATTCTTTGAATAATTCATGCTCCTTTTGACATTTCTGAACGTACGTATGACAATCGCTGTGTCCATAAATGAATGTCGTATAGCATGGCCACCACTCATCGATTCGATCGAAACCTGCTTTCAACAGACTCGGATCCAAAGGCACACCACGTTCTCTGAAAAGTTCACGATGAATTGATTATAACTACAGCGATAACAACAACTCTAGTAATAGTAACATCAATTAATCAGTGACATTTCGTTATCTTAATGATAATCCGGCAATATTAATAGATGATACTACAATAACAACATATTAATAAATGACATTGAATGAAGTTATTTTTGCCGATGCAAATCAAAACGGATACTTTAAAATGCTGACTGCATTACAACTATACTTATTATTTTATGTTTCAAAAGTATAATTCAGAAAATTTTAATATAAACGGCAAAATATTATTGGCGAACTGATAGCTCAATCGAAAACAATTCTTTCGTTACAACAAATAATTCACCTCGAATTTTCGAGCATTGGCATGAT